GGTGGAAAGCGCAAAGAAGTGCTTTAGCTGCTTCAGTGTCAACTTGAAATTCATTTTCTCTCTCCCAGCTTGATCAGCCACTGAAGGTCATCTTATTTCAGTCGTTCCTAAAGGGTCCCGCGTACACACAGAGTACGTACACAGGGGTAAATGGGGTTTTCATTCACTGGGGAAATGATTTGTAGCTATTTATAAAGTAGTGTTGTAATTTATTATTTGAATTCTGTTGCCTAGATTGAAAAAGTATCTGACAGTCAACTGGAACCAGCAGTTCCATTTTAATTCCACAGGGTAATAATTTTCTACTATTATAAAGCCTTACTCCAGTTATTATATGTATTAGTTGGTGGGGTTTTTACAGCACCACAACGAGAAACTTGCCAAGCAATAAATTCCATTGAAAGGTTTCTTTGTGTCTTTAGGAAAAGCTTACATGAGATACTTCCCTACTTACATGTAATAAAAGGAAATAATGAAGTACACAAGCACACAAGTAACCATTAACTTGTGCTATTGTGTGTTTTAATGGTTTTATTATGGATAACTTTCCAAACCGTACAGACTCAAATGAGTGCCTTTGCATTTCTCTGAATCTATCCTTTTAATTTACAGAAAACCTGATTCACACAGATTCTGGACTTAAATCATCACTCCAGCTGCTATGCTTTAAGTTTCCCAGACCTTTGTGAATCATTGTGTGGTTTTGAACAGCCTGGTTGTTGTGACATAAATATTTTTGTAATTGATCAAATATGTTTACGTTTGGTTGGTTTATATTTTTAACTAAAAAAAGGTCATTTTTTCGAAGGACTTCTTTAATTTTTAGGAAATGAGATTAATCGTATTTTTAAGGCACGATTTCCTTTTAATGTCTCCAACTAACTGAAGCAAAGGAATTATTTTGATTTTTGTCTCAGCCATTACAGCTTTGTTGGGCTTTGGGTATGTTTTTTCTAAGTCCTCCTTCAAAAGCTCTAGAGTTTTTACTGCTTGGCAGTTGTTAAGCTACCTGCCTCCCTGTTTAGTGTTCTAGAAAAGAGTTCTGGCCACTTATGTCTGAGACCAAAAAAACCCCAAACTCTGATGCATCAGAGTAGATAAGCAACAGGACAGAAAGCCAAATGTGGCTGTGATCAGAAGCAAAGCCACGTGCGTAGGCTTAAAGCGCAATTTGGAGCCTTTATGCATTTTAATTCTAGGAGAGGAATGATGAGTCAGTGCTGCCAGGGACTGCTTGGGCCGGGCAGGGCAACCACAATTAACGGGTTTGCAGCTGGGACTGGGCGTCCTTGAGAGCTAGAGATCTCGAGGAACTGTTTATAAAAGAGGGGGTCATACAACCCCATGCACCTTGTTCTGCAGTGACTAACTGTAAAACTTCCTGAATGTCTAAAAGTTTCATTCAAATTTCTTGGGGACAGAAAGCTAAATTGGATACAGAGGCACCTTCATGGTGCAACCAAGCCCTAGAAAAACAAGTAAAACGCATCCATGTAGGCTTTGTGGTTAGCCCAGATCAGCCTCAGAGCGGTGCTAAACATGCTGGTGTGACGGCATGGCATCCAGGGGTTTTCCCGTGTTTGCGGAGGTTGCCGTGGCTGAGGAGAGGCGCAGTGGCACCGGGGTGCTCGATGCTCACGCAGGAGCAGACGCCTGGGCTGCCGGGTGCTGGGACTGGGGCACCAGGTGCCGTGTTGTACCTGAGCTGCATCCCACGTTTCTGAGCAGGTTGGTACAAGTCTTTCACTATGACTGACTACTGGTCGTCCTCCTTCAGTGTCGTTTTGTTGTTTCTTTTCTCTCTTTTCTCAGCTGCCACCCCAGCACTTTCCTTTGCAGCAGCTTCCCCTGCTGCCCTGTCTGGGTTTCCCTCCCGCTCCACCTCCGTGCGAAGTGCCTAAAAGAGACAGGGAGCCATTGGCCACAAGCTGTTGACTGGCCTCTGGGGATTACACTCTTGCAGAGGGCAGGGTCTTGGTCCCCCAGGAGAGCTGCCATTCAAGGGTTGCCGCAAGCGTGGGGCACCCTCACCGTACCCTTCTGATTCTGTACAAGATGTTTGCCAAAGCTAGGAACTGCCAAGAGTTATAGCTGGCATCCCCTGGTAGGGCTGCAAAGGACATAAACACACTGAGTGGCTGGGGCACTGGAGGCCTCTGAGTTTATGCTGCTAGTGTGTTTTCCCCGGTACTTTGACTGCTGGGTTCACATGTTGCCACCAAATTGTACTTTAAAATATATATATATATTCATGATGGTTGTATAACTTTGTGACCATAAGGGGAAACCGCAGTCCTGTGGACCCACTAATGCCACTTCTGCAAATGCTGCCAAAGAATTGCCCCATTCAGCTTGGGGCCTGCTCTGTGGATTCTGATTATGCAGCTGCAAAATGTGGTATTTTCTTAACATGCCACTGAATTTAGCATTTTTTTTCCTGCGGAACTTGCTGTTTTGCTGAAGCCAGGTGCTTGACATTTCTCTGTCAGTCCTTTGGGGGTGGGGGGACAAGAAATCCTCCAGCAGCTGCTTCTTGTTTTAGGCTGGGGAGCAGCTAATTGGATTACAGTCCTGAAAACTGAAGAGGTGGGGCTTGGCACTGGCATACCTGGCATGAGGGAAGGTCCTCGACAGCACTGCGTGGGCACACCACTGCTGAGCAGATCCTGGTAATGGGGAGAAGAGAGGAAAAGAAGAAAGCGCCGTCCTCGGTCACTGACTGGTTTCAACCCAGTGCGAGCTCTTTGGTGGTGCCCCGTGGTAGCTTGGGTAACTTCGAGCTGTAAATGAAGGGCTATTTCCTAGACATGGACAGATGCTCAATCTGGGCATCCTTCAGTGAATGGTGCTTGTGAAGATTTGCCTGCTGGTGAAAAACTTCTCAGGCATCAGCAGCATTTCAGGTGTGCACCCCTGGTTCGAATGGGCACAGGACGGCCTCCCCGGGCTGCCATGTACCTGGCGTGGCACCTCTGCTGCTGCAGACGTGGTGGTGTGGGAACCGGCCTGTGGGAACGGCTTGTCATTGCTGTGGGCATGGTGTCCTTTTGCACACTTCACTCTGGGACCTGCTGTAAAAAATGTCCTTCAGCCTTTTCACAAGAGCTCTGCCCTGTGGCCAAGCTCAAGCCCTCTGGCATCGGGCGCAGGAGGCACAGCCAGTCACAGGTGGACACTGCCAAGGGCAGCTAGGACATTTATTGTCATTTGTTTCCATTTATAGCACAAGAGCAAAATTGATGCTAACTCTAAGTATCTTCCCAGGGACATGGCACATCTTCATAGAACCCAAACTGCCAGCCTCTCTTCCTCCTTCGTGAGGCTGCACCCACACCTGCGGGACAGCAGGTTCCGCATGCAGCAGCATTTCCCAAGGTTGGGGTTTGTGTGTTAGACAGAACAGAGCCTTTCAGATAACCATACATTGCTCCTAGGGTGCCTTATTAAGCCCAACTAGCAATGGTTTGCACATGAGAACAATTTTTAAAAATTTTTTTTTTTTTTAGTTAGTTTTTCCTTATTGTTCTCCCAAACCACCATGGGACATTTTCAGGAGCTCGCGTCTAACATGCCTGCATTGGCACACATTGGGAGTGCCTGTCCCCTTGCAGGATGCCTGTCCCTCCCAGGAATCACAACTAGGCTGGGAAATGCAGCCCAGCGGGGCCAGGGCCACAGTGACAGGGAACCAAGCTACTGCAGGTGACCGCTGTTCCTCTGGAAGCCACTGATTACAAGTGCTCTGGATGGAGGAAAGCCCTCTGAAGGCGTCCTGCTCTTCTCTACAGTGTGTGCCTGAAGTGGAGAGTTCAGAGTGGCTGCCGGGTCTTGTGAATGGAGAAATCAGGCCACCTGCCCCACGCTCAGTGTTTGTGCAGTGTGTACGTGCTGCTGATCTCACATGGGCTGAGGCCATACATTTACTGGGAGGCAAAAAGCCAACCGCAGCTGCATTTAATTTTCCCCTACACTGCTGGGACGGCTGCATGTGCTGATGTACCCACCGTGGCAGGGGCAGCAGGAAGGCTGGGAGATGGTGCAGAGCCGGCAGGCACGCGGCGCCGGGAAGCCAGCCCACAGCGCAGCCCCGCGCTGGAAGGCTTCTGGTCCTTTCACTGAAAGTCTGCAGGCCCCTTGGTTTTCTTCACGTACACCTGGGCTGCCTTAATTTCACAGTTTCTGAAACGTCTTTGTTTAAATCGCTCTCAGGCATTTTAAGAATGTAATATTAGGATTTATCAGGCAGACCGATGATGTTAAGAAATGACAGTACACTTGTTTCCAGTTTTTAATGTTTTCTTGTAAAACTGAAAATATAAAACCAGCTGAGAAAATGAAGATCTTTATATACATGAGGTCTGTGATTAAAAAAATCCTTTTAGTTAAAAAAAAAGAAAAAAGAGAGAAGAATTGATCAATGAGTTAAATGAAAACTGATTAAAGGGAACAACATTCTCAAATTGAAACGTATTTTCAGGAAAGAAAAACCCCTTCTTTACAAGTTTATTATATAACTTACATTTACACTTTACTGAGAGAACTTACAAAACAAGCTGCTTGAAATGCTCCTCATTCCCTTAAAGCATGAATTTCAAAGTGCCACAGCAAAGGAACAGGTTCCAATATTATCTTATACAGACTATTCATGTATAAAATGGTTTGGTAAATGTGAGGTGTTTATTTAAATGAGCACATATAGGGATACAGACTAAATAAAAGTACTTTTGTACTAACACCTTTGTTATTACATACACAGTTATAGGTATAATAAAGGAAACAAGGTCAGCACTGCTCTTAGGTATCTGTGTAGATGGAAGGAATGTGATTCAAACAGTGATCAAAGGCGCCATTTTGGAAGAATCCATTTTCATCAGTTCCGTTGGAAACCATGTCTTCAGATACACACTGTGCTTCAGAGATGGCATCATAGCCTGAAAGCGTGACAAGTTGTATGGACATGATTTAGTACCACAGTACATATAAGGAAGGAAGCACAGTTTGAGGCCTGGGAGTATACAGTACAGCACAGTGTTAATGAAAAGACAATAGGGTTTACCATCAGAGCCTTACCCAGGAATACACAAACTAATCTCCATGGGCATTTGTGTCATAGTAGATGAAGCTCCCATTCATTTCTGCGGAAAGCTACCCATTTGCAAGCGAAGTGCAAGTATCAGAGTATGACTCTCTTGGGACTTGACAGTCATTATCTGAATAGGATGTCAAAACAATGAGTGGGCAAGGATCCTAGTAAGTGTGCACTAAAAGTGATGCAGTCCTCTTGTTTTGTGTGTTTTTCCTTTTAATGGCACTTAGGAAAAATGTTCCATGTGTCTCCCAGCTGCTCTTAAGATCCAGAAGGAATCTGGATCCTACGTTTATTGGATCCCCACATAGTGCAGAAGTGAGGTCTGCGGAAGCATGTCTGGTCAGGGTCAGGCTCACAGGACGTGTGGAAGCAGCGGTGCACCACGTTGTCCTCAGCCCACCAAAGCCCACCATGCTGCTGGCTCCTCATCTGGCTGAGCTGGCTGGTGCTTGCCAGGCTACCCAAAAGCCACTATGGTGGGGAAGAGTTTCTCTGTCCTTCTCCTTTTATAATGCAAAACTGTTGTAACAGCTGTTACAAGCCTCCCTGAGCTGTGCATCCCTGTGGAAAGGAGCAGGTTTGTCTGCTACCAGGTGCTATGGCAGCTGGAGTGCCAGGGAGTCTGAAAGAAAAGGTTTGTTGCCTACCCCAAAGGACATGAAAATTTCCTATTGTGCCCCACTATAACCTGCTTTTGCAACTGGCCAGTCAAGGCTCACATGCACATACTCATTTTAGTGCAGCCCAGCTCTTTCCTTACTTCACCCCTGCTGCGTCCACCCCTTGCCGTGCCCTTCTTTCTGCATCTGCCCCTGTGCCCGCACTTCTCCTCACACCAGCCTCACACCCTCCTATCTGCTGCCCCATGGCCCTGCTGTCTGCTGGGGGGCTGGGCAACCTCCTGTGCCTTCTCCTTCAACACTTTTTTAACTCGCCCCCACTATCCCCTCCCCAAACTACTCTATGAAACCGTGACCCCCTTATGTTCATCCTTTAACATACGTATTCTGTTTTACCCTGAACCACCTGATTTGGGTTGGGTCTTTAGAAAAGTGTCTGTGTGAGCTTCAGCGCAAGGTTCTGACCCCTGCCCCCAGCCCACAGAGCCCACCTACCACAATTTTAATAAGCAGCAGCAGCATCAAGTCAGCTGAGGCAACACATGGAACAAGATTCTTCTAGTTAAGAACATGCCTGTGAGCTAAATGCCTGACGTAGAAAATACATCTCTTACAAATCACATTCATGTGAACTGCAAGTCAGTGTGTGGATGGCTGATCCTCGTGGCTAGAGCACCGGGACCTGGCTCCATTCTCTGCTTGATGGAGGAGCCCTGTGGAGCCACTGGGAAACGACTGTTTTTCTGTGCCTCAGTTCCCCATGTGGAAGATGAGGCTCTTTCTTCTCTTCAGCCTTTCTCTCATCTCTTGCCTGCCTAACTCTGCAGGCAAGTGTGTCTAGATATGGCTGAATCAAACGCTGCACCAGGCGTAACTGAGGCCTCCAGGCTGTGCGGCACCGCACCACCAGCAGTAATGACAGATCCTGTAGTCTTATACAGCCAGTCCTGATTTCAGAAAGAACCGTCGGCTCAGTCCTTAGAACTTAATTATAGGTAGTTTACTATTAGGTATGTTTTTATTATTTGAGACCAAATTCTCTACTTATTTACATTTCTGCATTTTCCTATGACGTATTAATTTACTGTTAGTTTACAGGTCAAATTCTGCTGTCTGCAGAAATCTGGCATGCAGCGTACGTCCAAAGTCTCCGGAAGACGAACTTGGCCTGTTTATCTGCCCTGTGCTGTGTCGGTCCAAGTGGAGTGACCAGTATTTTGGTAAGTTTTGCGAGTGTTTATGTTATGCTAATTTCTATTTGATGAGCCTGTATACAGAGTGGATACACAACCACAGATGGACAAAACCCAAGATAAGCATACACCCCAGAAATCATTATTAGATTCCAGATAAACTATCCAAAGTCCTGAACAGAAAATGAAAATTTATTGACTGTTAATGTGATTCATGAAACAGCTGTTTGCCAGTCACATTTGGCATTCCTATGAGATGAGAT